GATAGGTTTCTGTGTTTTGAGATTTCTGACGTCTGGTTTATGTTTATTCATTCATTTGCGTAGAGATTGTTCTGTTTGTCCTGTGTAGACTGCAGAGGAGAACTGTTAGCAAATGATTGCATAGATCACATTAGCTGAGGAAGAACTAAGGTGCCCTTGAGGTTGTGTGTAATATTGTTGGGTCCTGTGATAATGTTGCCAGAGCAAATGTGGGGGCTACCTTATACAATTACCTGTATTCAATCTGATAATATCCATTACTGATCATTTTAAACATTGCTGTTGGAATCTGCCTTGGAAAGACTCAGTCAAAAAGGGTGTTACATCTGCATAAATAACGAAAAGTTAAGTCAGTTGATTTTTTTTTGTTATTGCCTTCTTAGGGTAGGCAGGTTCAAAGAGCACTAACCAGACTTGCAAACAGAAACTAGCCTGGTCACCTCCAGTAAGGAAGAATCACCCACCAATGACCAGTAGACAATATTGGAGGGAGAGCAATATGATTAGTGGTTGGGGTGGTTCTGCTGTTGCCACTACCACGGGTGGTAAATGACCTAGGGAGAGCTCTCTACACATTTTCAAAATGAATGAATTGGTGTGGACTCTTGGCAAACAATGCTGCTGCAGTTACTGTGTCTGAGCCTACTATGGGAGCCACTGGAGGGGTGTCCAGGAAAAATAATAGTATGGGGTCAATGCCAAATCCTAATCAGGGCACACTGATGAAGACATACTGTACAGCCATGGCCAGAAAACCATTAGCCTGACCTCCTGTCCCATGGATCAAGCAATTAAAAGATCAAAGCATGTTCAAGACACAAGTACTCTAAGCAAGTTAACTCTCTCTCTCTCTCTCTCTCTCTCTCCATGTGTATGTATGTGTGTGTGTGTGTGTGTGTGTATTGTAAGAAGCACAACAATTGCTTTCATAGATGTCACTGCTCTCTTTCAAAAGCAACCTTTTCTCTGGAAAATCAGATAGCCACCTAGTTATTAATGCAGAATCTAAGGGCTGATGCAGGCAAGGTGTTGAATTATAATGTTTTCTGCAATAAACATACTAGATGTGAGCTAGTTTAGCCCTTCTGCCACATACCTGGAACAAAGTGTTCGATAGCATGTTTGTTGACCCTGTCTTCCTACAATGACTTGGCCTGCTGCTCGACCACCATTCACCATTTATGTGTTCTGCTGGAAGTAAAACAAGCAGACATGAGAAGAGTGGGTAGCTTTGGGCAATGAACAGTAAACATGACTGCCATTGACATATATTATGCTAAATCAGATACATAGTTATACATAAAGTGCGTACTTGTACAATTGAGCTGGGCTGGTTTCTTGTGTAGTTTTAAACAGCTATCAGATCCTTCCTCCAGTAATAGCTCCAAAGGAATACTCCAGTCACTTGACACGTTGAATAGGGAGGAAATGTTTTAGAATGTGGGGTTATATGATGTTAATCAAGTCCTGAAAAGCTCCTCTTTCTTACCAGTACATCATTTTCCTCACCTCCTCCACCCCTTTCGGTGAGCTGCTAGAAAATCTGCTGGTGAATGTTGTAAAACCAACAAAAAAAGGGAATGCATTTGATAATAAACACATGAAAAACAGAGAGAAAATGATATCAATATATAACAGGAGGCTCATTGGGCAGTGACTAAACTGCAGTATTGCAGTCAAATCTTTGCTAAGTTCGATCCCAACAGGCTCAGGTAGCTGGCTCAAGGCAGACTCAGCCTTCCTTCCTTCTGAGGTCGGTAAATTGAATACCCAGCTCACAAGGGATGGGCAATGTGTAGCCCACATAATTAAATTGTAAAGCATCCAAAGAGTACTTAAAATTCCATGGAGCAGTAAATAAACAGCACACTTTTATGTACAGTGGTACATCGCAAGACGACGCCCCTGCTGAATGATGAATCTGTATTACGATGACTTTTTGCGATCGCTATAGCGATTCGCGAAACAGTCATTCCAATGGGGGATTTTCACTTGACATTGATTAGGTCCGTGCTTTGCGAACCATTTGTTTGCGAGACGATGATTTTTCTGGCTCCGGAAAATGGCTCCTCTGTGTTTTCCGGACCCATGCTTCACAGGGCAGCCATTTTTACAGCTGATCAGTGCTTCGCAAAATGGCTTCCCTATGGGCGATCTTCGCTGGATGAGGAGGTATTTTCCCCATTGGAACGCATTAAACGGGTTTCAATGCATTCCAGTGGGAAAACTGATTTCGCATGATGATGATTTCACTAAACAGCGATTTTCCTGGAACGGATTATCATTGTCATGCGGGGCACCACTGTATAAGCAACTTGTCATTCAAATAAGAAGAGAGCTAGTCCTGAAATTTTGTGGGGAAAGTGCTTCCGCTTGTTGGACCACAAGCCACACACCAAAGGGTCTACATTGTTGATGATATCCAATGCATGTTGAAACCACAGGGAATGGCATAGAACAGCACATTGTGGCTCATTTTTGAGATGAGAAAAGTCCCTACACAAGGAATAATTCAGAAACATGTTGCACATAATACACAGCTTAACATGTTGCATATAATACACAGTTTAACATGTTGCATATAATACACAGCTTCTTTGTGCTCCATTTCTCTCTGGTTGTTTTCATGGGTTTTTGAAACAGGTTGCATGCCTCTAAAACAAAACCCACTTCCTCCTAGATTATTTTCAGTTTTGAAACAATTTGCTCTTCCTCACCAAACGCACTTCCGTGGTGAAGTCTTGAACACTGTTAACTGAAGATGGAGGGAGTCTGTTTTTGGATTGGATTTACAATTATTTTGGAAATGTTTTTGCTGTGTTTGCTAATCATGTTTTACAGGAGACTCAGGCAGTTCTTTGGCTTTTTTGTAGCTACCATCAACTGTTATCACAAAAGACCAGGTGCAGATAAGTGAAGAGTTTCTTAGAAGTGTGGCATTTTCTACCACAGCACAAAAAGGAAGGGGAGGGGAGGGAGTCAACAGGATGTCCCCTTTACAATATCAGTCTTTTCTTTCCTCACAGCTAAACATTTTAAACCAATATACTATCTTGAAATTGAAGTTAGCTTTGTGGGGAAAAGAGGTCCTCAGCAAAAGGCAAGACTTTTCAGCTTAAACAACAGTACTCCATTAAATTTGTTTCTGTAAAATGAACTGAAACTATCAGAAAAGTGAAATCTACTAAATCAAAGAAAATGCAGGACTGTTTCTGTTGCTTTGAACAGGTAGGTGGAAAGAACTGTCTTCCTTCTGCGCCCCATTTAATTCCCCTTTCCTTTTCTTGAATTGTCAAGACTATTCAGGTGTGGAGATTTATCTCAATTAAATTATGAATGCATTTTCAACATAAATGTCTCCAGCAAAGGAAGAAAAGCACCCTGTTAAATGTTGCGTCTTGCCAGTTTAGCTTTTTATGCTGTAAAAGAGACAGTCACAAATTTACAGTACATTTACCACAAGTAAATAATAGTTTGTATCCAGTTTTCTTTCTCAAGGCTCTGCTGCATGACTCGTGGGCCCCGTGAGACCTATAAAAAGCTAGCCAGGTATCTTCCATGTATCAGCTGCTTACCTAGATCAGCTTTAGAAGAGGTAGCCGTGTTAGTCTCTGCTAGTATATCAGGCAAAACAAAAGAAAAATAAAATAAAGAACACAAAAACATTTTTTTAAAAGGTTCCCCTTGACAATTTTTGTCCAGTCGTGTTCAACTCTAGGGGGCGGTGCTCATCCCCGTTTCCAAGCCATAGAGCCAGCGTTTGTCCGAAGACAATCTTCCGTGGTCACATGGCCAGTGCGACTTAGACACGGAACGCTGTTACCTTCCCACCGAGGTGGTCCCTATTGATCTACTTGCATTTGCATGCTTTCAAACCGCTAGGTTGGCGGGAGCTGGGACAAGCGACAGGAGCTCACTCCGTCACGTGGATTCGATCTTACGACTGCTTGGTCTTCTGACCCTGCAGCACAGAGGCTTCTGCGGTTTAGCCCACAGCGCCACCAAAATACATTATGGCACCTTAAAAGCTATATTTTAATGTGAGCTTTTGTGGCCAGGTCCACTTCCACTTACCTCAGTCTTTTTGTTATATGCAATAAGTATCTCCATGTGCATGGTTCTGCATGTTCATGGTGGGTGCTTGCAAATAATGGAAAAGGATAGCACTTTTGTCAGTTTTCCTTTACCTGGTACCTCAGAGATTTGTTGAAAAATTCATCAGCTCTAGGCTTTGGCAGAGGACTATGATTGTAATGATGCAGTGGGCAAAGTGGCGGCCTTGTCCTGCACGTGCCAATCTCAAAAGGCTTGGTTTTTGGGCCTCTAACCTCTGTCCCAACCTTGTCATGTTCCACAAAAACATAGTGAACTGCAGCTCTTGGAAGTCTCCAGAGGTGACAATTCACTTTTTAAAAAGGACTTGATTGATTGATTGATTGATTGAATTTGATATACTGCACCTGTTAGTGCCACAACACTACTCTGGGCAGTTCACATAAATTAAACAAATAGTTAATATAAAATCATAACATCTAATCAAGTAAAAACAGAGGGCGCTAGAGCATTAATAAAAAAGGCCTCAATGCACCATTTAACTGTCCCCATAAACCTATTTTTTCCAAAGTAGAAACGGACCCCTAGCCTCTTCTCATTTCTTTCTTTCTTTTTTACTTTTTCTGCATTCTTGGCAGTCTGTGCAGCCCCCAAAGGGCCTGTTGGCAGGGAAGTGGCTCCTAGACACTCTGTACTGCCCCTGAAAGTAATCTGATTCTGATTCAGCTAGTACAGAGCCCAGATTTCTGGCTGGTTCGCTTGGGCTGGCAAATTCTATGGGCGGGGGGGGGCTCTGGATTCCGATGAGCACATTAGCGCTAGCACTGCCATCAGCGCTGATTTTGCTATGGGCAGTTTTGTTGATGGCAACCAACAGTGGCTCTCTATGACACAAGCAGATTCCAGAATGCCTTCCTGTAACATCAGTCCCTGCTAATGTACAGCACAGAACAGAACATCCTCTTTCTTTCCAGAGGGAAAGGTAGAGGATGGCTTCTCCAGTGCCTTGAGATTCATCTGTGGCGGCAAATAGACATCAATAAGGCCTGGGATGTGTGCCCAGCCTTGTGAGCCATGACTTGCTCAAGGTAAGCTGAAACTCCATCCTGAATACAGTCAGCTTTCCCTACCAGCTCCTAGAAGACACACCACAATTGTGTACAGACTTATCTGTTATCTGTCATCCCAGTTTTCTGAGGCAGCTGTTTCGGGTCAGAAAGAGAGCTTATAGGTAACTCGTTATCAGAGCTCCACATAAATCCCTGTTAAAGAGACATCTGATATGGGCATAATTTCCCCATCTGAGAAGTCAGTTTTTCGAGGAATCGCATGCTGCGTCCCAATGGCCAGATGAACCATCAAATAAAGAAAGCTGCTTTGTTGAGAAATGGGAGAAGCTCTTGCTATGACATTCACAGGCCATCAGCCTTCAAGGATTTTCCTTTTCTACTGACGGGTTATCTACAAGGTCTCTGTTGGCCCCCACCTTAAGCAACTCATCACATTAGGCAATCACAGAGACCCATACAATGTAGCTTGCTTGCCTCACCCTGCTACTGTCCAGTGACTCCTCTGGAATCTGACCACATGCCCAGCTTGGACCACATACGTTTTCTGCCTCTGACTCTCTTGATTCTCAGGAGCCACTTCTGGAACTGGTTGATGTTTTCAGCCACATTATCTATCTCCTGGTCATTTAGATCCATGGTGCCTTGTGCCAGGACTGTTCTCCCACCTTCACTCCCACCTGCAACCTGTCTTGGGGCTTCATCAAGGCCTGGCCTGCTTTCCAGGAAACTCTAGCTTGCAGGTGGAATTCAGCCCTCAGAAATTCCCAGCCTCATCTGTGAAGGGCTCCTTGACTGCTTGGAAAACAAGCTCAAAGAGGGAAATGTGCGACTGGCAGAGCTCTTTCACCCAGCAGAAATGATTAGATTAGGATCATTGTAAGTAATTCTGTTGTGGTGAACCCTTTGATTAACTAGCACTACACCACAGCGAGAAGGAAGGTTTTAAGCATCTCTTTCGAATAATAGAGTGCATTGATCCTAACTGTGGGAGGCAGTGGACTTAAGCATTAAGACTCTGGTGCGATTATTTCTAAAGGAAAAATCAAATTCATCTCGCATGTAGGTCAATAACATCTATCATTTAGTTCAATAAATCCATCAGTAGGAAGGGTGGAAGACTGCTGTTCTGCTTGATCGTCTCTATGTGGATTTTTTTTTAGATGCATGCATTTAGCATCCATATTTATTTTTCACTGAATAATGTGCCGTAATCCCCCTTTTTCATTCTTGTTACAGAGTGCTACATTGCAATGCTCTGCATTTTTACTCGGGAGTAAATCTCACCTTCTTGCTCTCTTATCTCTAAATCTGCACTTTAGCTTGCTGCTGCTGTCAGTCTATGGGGTGGGCAAGCCCCCAGCAATATCCTCAGGGGCCCAGTGGCGGACACTCTTTGCCAGGATGCTTCTGGCTTCTGGCTCTGGCTTTGGTCCACCTAGCACTCCTGGCAAACTGTAGTCTGAGCAGAGCAGGAAGTATCTTACCCTATTACCGTCTGAAGAGGCATGGCCTATTTGCTCTGTCTACAGACAGCCTATACCTAGCACAGCGTTATATGTTAGAGAGCAAGCACAACTCTATACACAGAATTAGAAAAGAATCTCAAAATGAGTCTTGTTATTTAGTCGTTTAGTCATGTCCGACTCTTCGTGACCCCATGGACCAGAGCATGACAGGCCCTCCTGTCTTCCACTGCCTCCTGGAGTTGGGTCAAATTCATGTTGGTAGCTTCGGTGACACTGTCCAATCATCTCGTCCTCTGTCATCCCCTTCTCCCCTTGCCTTCACACTTTCCCAACATCCATCAGGGTCTTTTCCAGGGAGTCTTCTCTTCTCATGAGATGACCAAAGTACTGGAGCCTCACCTTCAGGATCTGTCCTTCCAGTGAGCACTCAGGGTTGATTTCCTTCAGAATGGATACGTTCAATCTCCTTGCAGTCCAGGGGACTCTCAAGAGTCTCCTCCAGCACCCCAATTCAAAAGCATGACTTCTTCGGCAGTCAGCTTTCTTTATGGTCCCGCTCTCACTTCCATACATCACTACTGGAAAAACCTTAGCTTTG